TTTTTTTTGAGACAGAGTCCCGCTCTGTTGCCAGGCTGGCATGCAGTGGCACGATCTCGGCTCACTGCAGCCTCCACCTCCTGAGTTCAAGCAATTCTCCTGCCTCAGCCTCCTAAGTAGCTGGGACTATAGGGGTGCACCACCACACCTAGATAATTTTTGTATTTTTAGTAGAGACAGGGTTTTATCATGTTGGTCAAAATGGTTTCCATCTCTTGAACTTGTGATCCACCCGCCTCAGTCTCCCAAAGTGCTGGGATGCCTAGCCAAGAAAAATTTTTTTTAATCTTTTTTTTTCCTTCAATAGAGATGGGGTCTCGCTACATTGACCAGGCTGGTCTCGAATGCCCAGCATCAAGTGATCCTTCTGCCTTGGCCTCCCAAAGTGTTGGGATTATAGGCATGAGCCATTGTGCTTGGCCTTAAGAAAATTTTAAAAGAGAAAAAACTTAAAATGGGGAAAATTAGACTATTTTCTCCCAGAAAATTGAAAGAGATCATCCTTATTCAATTTTAGCAGTAGTTTCTCAACACACCTTGAGCAGATGCCCATGTTCTTGATAAAGGCTTTATCTATCACAAGACAGATTCTTATTTTTGATGATGATATTTTGTTTTGGGTGTGGGCAGGGGTGCTGTCAGGAGGAAAGAGAGATAGGGAGGACTTTCAAGTCAACACATCAAAAGTAAGAGTATGCTGTTTTATAGTACTCCCTGCTCCATGCAACAACAGGGGAGCCTAAGAAGGAAAGGAAGCTTCAAGAATTGTGGGGAAAAGGACCAAAACGCAGATTTAATAAAACTGTGTCAAGCAACTGCCAGGTGTTGGGCACTGTTTTACTTTAATCCCTGGGGACAGAGTGAAGAGAAAATTCCTGCCGTCATACAGCTTAAACTCCAGTTTAGAAGCCAACTGGGGCAGGAGCTGGAGCTTTTTCTAGGTATTAATTATATTAACCAAATACAGCAGGAACACAGGGGAACTCAAGTTTTCTAAGAACAGTTGGCTACTGGTCATTCCTTGAGGGATTTAATTTCACAGAAGTTGGAGAGACAGCAAAAGATTCAGATTACTCCAGAAAAGAGCAATTACTCCTTATCCAGGTCCAATAGTGTATTAAATCCCTGGATACAGGAGGAGAAAATGACCACAACTGTCCTTGTTTTGTTAGTAATGACACCAAGTAATAGGCCAAGCTAAAGAGAAAGGAGAATTCCTCTCTCACCTTTATATCACAGATCCATCAATCAATTAATGCCATTAGTTCTTTTGTCACAATATCCTCGTATTTGTTTTTTACATGATATCCACAGTTTTTTAGGCAGATTAATTTTCATCCATTCATTCAACATTTGTAAGTGCTACCATGCGTCAGGCAGTGCTCTAGGCCTGGGGACAGAGCAGGGAATGAAAAGTTCAGTTCCTGCCCCATAACCTCTTTCCTCAGTGCAGCCCCTCCATGGCAACCTTCCTGGAAAAAAATTCACCCCATTATTTCCTACTTATGCTCCCGATTGTTCCATACTTTTACCTGCTGAAGTCCAAAATTTCAGTTATGACTAAAGGTTTGTAATGAGGTAAACCTACTTCACGTGTCCAGCCACATCTCACATACTCACACAGATGTTGTTTTAAAATCAGATCCAAGCACTTGCTTAGGAAGAAGGGAGACACAGCATGCCCTTTTAATTTTAGTGTGCTTATCATGTTGTATTGTTTCTTTTCCCACGACAGACTCTAGATATTACTCTACAACCATGTAAATCAAATTACTCTGGGTGCAAAGCCTTATCCTATTCACAAAATCTCTTTAAACTACCCTCACTTAAAATGATGTATTCTTACTGCATACTCCTTCCTAAGCAGTTTGTACTTTGCTAATTTCACCCTTGCTTACATGAGGCCTGTGAATTAGTCTTAAGCTATTTCATGTATATTTACTTTATTTTCCTGAGTAACTGGTCTGCTCCTTAGAGAGGCATTTCCTTTTGCTTTTCTGGTAGTAACTACTGCAGTCTGAATCACATTGTAGGACCTCAGTAGACTATACTCTGGTAATTTTAGATCAGGCTGACAATAATATTAGCTATTTACATCTGGCCATGCGATAGATTAAAACAGTAGTTATATGAATGTTTGGAAAAAGCGACCTTTAAATCAAACTATAAGCCCTTTATGGCACTGATTGTGTTATAAGAGTTATAGCTGGCATATTTTATGGATGTGCTGTGAGCCAGGTACTGTGCTAAGTAAGCTCTTAAATGCATAATCATCACAACCACCTTATGAAGTAGGTACAAGGACTATCTTCATTTTATATTAAGGAAACTGAGATGGAGGGATGCCATTTAACTTCTTTATCTTCATGTAACTAGTAAATGGTGAAGTCAGAATTTGACTCTGAAGTTAGAGCTATTAAATGCTATTGTTTTCCTCTAGGATGAAAGGCATGCCTTTATGCTTCTAATCCTCATCCTGTGGTCCTGGGTCTTAAAGGAGTAAAATGGACTGCATGAGAGAAAGAGGGGCAGCAGCAGCTCATGGAAAAGGAAGAGTCAAAGGCCAACACAAATTCTGTTCTGCAATCCTGCATGGCCCACGTATGATAAGAGGCAAGAGTGGAAGGCAGGGAAGCAGGGAATACATGGAACAAGTAAAAAGGAGAAAGAGTGAAAGGAGATAAAATAAGGAGGACAGGAAAAAGACAGATCAAAAATCCATAACCGGAATGAGTAACCAAAAAAAGGGCACCAGAGTTAATAAAGCACAGAAAAGAGTAAGAATTCTCAGAAAGGAAGCAAGGACACGGAGAAGAGAACCCTGACAACAGGGTATGGTGGTGCACAGAGAGCTGACCAGCCTGAGAGTCATGGGCTGCCCAAGTCCCAGCACACCCCATGCATTGGGAGACACTTACAGAGCAAGAGAGGCGGTGGCAGCAGTGAACAGAAGGAGGTGCCCAAGGGATCCAATAGCACCTGAGAGGAGCAAACAGGAAAGTGAGAGCTGGTGGGAGGCTGCCCAGGAGCCACCACCCAGGTGCTGGTCTGCCAGGGCACTCACCTCCACGGCAGGCCTGGATGAAGAACATTTTCGGTTTGTTCTGTAGGCTTGGGCAGTTGGCGTTGTCAAAGAGCCGAAAAACCTCTTGTAGCTGCCAGAAAGAAACAAGGAAGAAGGGAGGTTAAGCAGTTGGTGGAGCCTCCTGAGGTCCTACACATGCAACAGTAGCCATCACTGGACAGACATCAGGACGCAGGTGAAGCAGCCTGGTTTCAACAGTTGGCTTCCCCTACCATATCCGCACCTGGAGCAGTTTCCCATCCACACCATAGATGGCGCCCTCCACACCATGCGAGAGGAGTGCTATGATGCAGGAATCCGTGACTCGGTGTGCAGGTAACTGTGCAAAATTCTGGAGTTTCTCTTGCATTTCCTAGAAAAAAGGAGTGTTTAGTGTTGTGCCTTAGAGTCAGCACCAATATAAGCATCAATCTTTGGTTTCTTTTTGAAACCCTAAGCTATTAGAAGATAAAATGCTTTCCGTATATTCCTGCAGTCAATGATAGAAGAATAGACCTTTTGAGAGACTTACTTTCTCTCTCAAGTAAAAAGAAAGCTATGGACTAACAAGAAAAATGCATATGAGCTGAGACACAACATTCTGAATATAGATTCAGACTCACTGAGATAGAGAACTCCTGGATTAAAGCAAGTTACTAAAGAAGCTAATCATGAGCTGATCAACTCTGATTAGTTCCCTGTTCATAACCAGATTCTTCATTACAGCAAGTGCCCTTGTATATAAATGGCACAAGGGTGACTATAAGTGTAGCTATGAATAAGTAACATGCACATTCAGCTACAAGAAAATAAACTATTCTATGACAGCACCATGACAGAAGAGAATAGCAATACTTGTGTATTGTCTTCTAAGATTTTAAGTATCTGAGAGATAGTGATGATACCTGTATAAAATGCCTTGTTTCAGAAAGGGCATGCTATGAAGGAGGATCTGTACAGGGCAGTGACTACATATGCAGGCCCTGGGGTCTGATTAATCTAGGTTTGAACCTTGGGTTCATAAGTTGAAACAACTTACTGGCTGTTGAGATTCCGATTTCCACTTTATAAAAGAAAATTTGAGTACATTTTCTTTAAGTTTGTGAAGATTAAAAGAGATATTATAGACAAAGGCCTTAGTCTGGGCAGCCTAGCAAGACTCCATCTTTAAAAAAAGAAAAAATTAGCCACGCATGGTGGTGCATGCCTATAGTCCCAGCTACTCTAAAGGCTGAGGTGGAGGGATCACTTGAGCCTAGGAGACCGAGGCTGCAGTGAGCCATGATTGCACTACTACACTGTAGCCTGGGTGACAGAGACCCTGTCACCAAAAAAAAAAAAAAAGACCAATCACTGTATTTGGGACACACTGCAAAAATCTGCCATTATTATAATGTGCACATCTAATAAAGAGTACTTTTTTCAAAGAAATCTATTACTGGTCAATGGTGTAGTCCAATTTAAGAACTGTGTTCTTGTTTATCTTTTTAAAAAAAATCCAGGATCTCACCATCTTGCCTAGGCTTGAGTGCAGTGGCTATTCACAGGTGCAAGATGACTACTGATCAGCACAGGAGTTTTCACTTGCTCCAATTCTGACCTGGGCTGATACACCCCTCCTTAGGCAACCTGGTGGTCCCCACTCCCAGGAGGTCACCATATTGATGATGAATTTAGTTTGGACACCTGATCAGCCTAGAACTCCCACGCTCAAGGAATCCTCTCTCCTCAGCCTCTAGAGTAGCTGGGACTACAGGCATGTACCACCATGCCCGCAGAATCTTGTTTATCTCACACTAAGTTGCGATACACAAAGACCACTACTTTGAGCAGTTGGTCCATGCATCAGAAAAAGTTATACTATGTACCTAAAGAGCATAATAATTGGACACACATTTTTAAACCTATGCCTCCCTCTACAATTCACAATGTCAGAGTCTTCTACCTGAGTTGGGCAGAGAGAAAACAAGTTCATTTTATTATAAACTTGAATAAAATGTAAAGAAGACAAATAAGTTATCTGGGTGGAAGACTTAAAACACACATATTTTCAATCACACACACACCGCCAAAATAAAAAGCACACTTCTATAATATAACATATTGCAATGGCTCTCAAAGTGTGGCCCCTAAAGCAGGAATAGCACCATCACCCAGGAACTTGTAAGAAATGTGAAATCTTGGGCCCCAGCAAAATATGTTTTAACAAGTTTTCCAGGAGACTCTGATACGGAAAAGTTTGAGAACTACTGATTTATTTGTTCAGAATACTTCTGTTTGTAGATAATTGAGATGCAGTTAAATAAAATATTTGAAAGTCTGCAATATAACGAGAAATAGACAGATTGGTTTTGTTGAAAAGTATGTGTAGTTTCTGAGTAAGTAGAATCCAACCATAATAATAGAAATCTTAAGGTAATGACAGATAATCAAAACATTGTTTCAAGAATAAATAATTTCAAGAGAATACATAACTGTGAATGCTCCTCTGGAGCTGACCCTAATAAGAGTTTAACATTTAATAGTTAAGGAAGTTCATTTTTCTCAAAGAAGGAAACAAAAATTATATACCTGGGCACTGAATCACCAGCATTTTGAATTTAGTGAGATTAGGTCAGCAAACAGAAAACAAAGCCCCGAAAAAGAATACACGCACTTTGTCATTGAAATTAGTTAAGACTAAACCATTCAATAAATGGGGATTAGACATTTGGAGGAACTTTTCCACAAGTAGCATAGCTTAAAATAGGATCTGCAGATTTGTTTTTGATAAAATTACAGTACTCCTATAAATAGCAAGGTTCTTAACTCCTAAGTGTATTTTTGGCTAGGGGCAGGGGGAATGTGTGAAGTGTGTAACTGGTGAACCCTCTGAAATTATATGCTAAATTATATGGGCAGCTGCATTTTCCAGGGATGACCCACAGCTTGTCCCTGCATTTTCAAAGCAGTTTGTGACCCAAATGCAAGCTAAAAAAACAATACCACATGGTAAAAGGAAATTTCCACTTTGAAAAGTACCTCGTTTACTAACATATGGTAAAGCATAATTCTAGAACTAGTAACCTCATCATGAAGCAGATGCAATGAAAATTTGATAACAAAGAGAAAAGTGAAAACATTTGGGGAGTGAGAATACCCATGTTCTCTGCAGCACTATCAGGGGAGGAGGATTCTCTAAGATTATATTATTTCTTGTTTTTAAATGGAATTTTCCTCTCAAGTAAAAAAGATTTGATGTGGGGAAAAAAGAGGATCTTATGTTTTTTCGTTCTGCCTGTTTGCCAAATAGCTATATGATAAAGGAGTTGAGTCTCTAGGGAGATCCCACCAGGAAGAGAGTATTCTGTGCACTCAATTATGACACGCACTGCAACTACTTGGTTTATAACATATACATTTCTTGTCCATATACTGTTCTCCCTGCCTAGAGTGGCCTCTACACTCCTCTCTGCTTTAGTAACTTCTATCTTTCAAGGCTGACTTAAGTCCTGTCTCCTCCATTTATCCTTTTGATCATAATATATACCTAGGTGTTTCTTCTTCTTACCTATGTCAGAAGACATTTTCTCTAATCTTGCTTGGTCCTTAGGAATACAAGAAGACCCCCTTCCTTTTCTCCTGATGTCAAAACTCCCTCATCTGATCTTTACAAAAATTTGTGGGAGCTCACATAGTTCCCCATTATAGGTGCTTGAAGTATAACTCCACTGCAATTTCAGTTATACAGCAATGTAACCAGATTTAGAATCCAACAGGTCACTGAACATACATCAGGCTTAGCATAAATAAGAATGATATTTATGAAGTGAGCTCATAAACTCACCAAATCTACTGAAGGTCTCTCAAAAAAACAGCAGTATATAGCTGACTTAGTGACTCAGTATTGTATCTTTTAACTATTAGATGTGTAAGATCCTTTATCAGCCTGCATACAACTTGGAAAACCATGACATAATAGATTTCCAGTAAAAGAAATGGCTAGACCAAAACCTCTAAGAAAACACATTTAGTGCACAATTTGTTAAGTCACCTTCTGTAGGAATTATGACTGATACCTCACCCTTTGTCCTTTTATGCCCAGCAGACTTCTCAGGAAAGCATATGAAAGACTTGAATACTTGATGACTGAAGCAGCTGTTCCTGCTGTGGCTTTGAAGCAAGGGTGGATCTAACTACACTGCATGTGCTACAACGGGGAAGCTGGAAAAACACCATGTAAAGGACAACACCCATGTACCTGTGGATGAAACTGGTCTTGACAAAAATATAGTCAATACATAACTATTCTCACAGAAAGAGAACAGCTGAGAAAGAGAAATGAAGCCTACAGACACTGCTGAATGGAAAACAAAGATCCTCTATCTCAACAGATCAAAGTGAATCTCCTAGAAATTTTAATTTCACCACTGACAACCTCAAATCAAATTTAAGAAAGTTCTATTATTCTGGAATCAAAATAAAGAGTGAATATTAATCTACAAATAGGCCATTGTTGATTGCAAAACAGAAACCCTGAAGGTCACAAAGTCAGTCATGCAGTACAGTAACTGAGGTTAATGAGGAACAGCCCATAATGAAAATGCTTACAATTTCTAGAAATCTGATCCAAAAGCAATCCACCCTATGATATCACTTGTGGCTATACAACTGCTATGAATACTTTCCCAGCTGGGCATGGTAGCTCACACCTGTAATCCCAGCACTTTGGGAGGCCAAGGTGGGCGAATCACCAGAGGTCAGGAGTTCGAGACCAGCCTGGCCAATGTGGTGAAACGCCGTCTCTACTAAAAATACAAAAATTAGCCGGGCATGGTGGTGTGCGCTTGTAGTCCCAGCTACTCAGGAGGCTGAAGCAGGAAAATTGCTTGAACCCGGGAGGCAGAGGTTGCAGTGAGCAGGGATCACACCATTGTACTCCAGCATGGGTGAAAGAGCTAGACTCCATCTCAAAAAGAAAAGAAAACATACTTTCCCCATTCCCTGTTTCATTCACAGAAATTTTATCTGCCAAAGTAATCTTTTAAATAATAAACAAATGGCTAAGTAGCAATATCAACTAAGAAGTAAATATCCTGTGTAGCCCTGGCTTATAAATATCTGTACTAAATTGATGATGGTGAATCTCAGTGTCCCATCATTTCCAGAGTGATTGGGAATCAAGCTTCTGAACATGTAAAAGTGAAAACCCAACCCTAGACTATTATTACTCTATGAAAGCACAACCTGAAATGTCAACACTATAACAATTAGCTGGCACTAGTTCTTTCTTATTAGATTGCAAGGTGAGAGGCAGAACAGAGTGAGTAAAAATGTAAGTAGAGCAAACAACTTTCAAGACATATCCCAGCAGGCACAAAAACAAAAAGTATCTCTGGTCCCAAAGTGCTATTCAGTCCTCTAATTTACATGTCAATTTTTCCTGCCTCAGGTACCTGTGCAGTCTGGTCATGTAGATCATGGACGTCATAGCCCAAAAGCTTGAAGAGGATGACTAGCGTACTGTGGTCCACCTCCCCTCCAGAGCGAAATTCCAGGTCCTTCTCTCCAGTGAAGTGTACATTGCTCAACACCAGTGCCAGGCCACGAGGCCGAGACTGCAACCTATAGGCCTAGGAAAGAGGGGCCAGTTAGACCACGAGCGTCTTGATGACAGATGATTCCCTGGCTAGATTAGTCATTTCAACAAAAACATCACATTCTTCTTCTTCACCCCAGCAGGTAAAAATAGACAAATGCTCATAGAAGGCATTTAACCAGCAACAACTTTCTAACAAGGCAGAAGAGAAATGTATATGCAAACTAAGTTCAGGTGCCTGGGAAGGGTGTCTCATTTCCCAATTCGTTTCCTCTTGTCACTATGCAAAACTCACCAGCTGGAAGTGTGTTTGATAAAATTCAGGAGTGCAAGACTTCACTTGAAGGCAGGCAGGACCATCTTTATTGTCTAGGGAATGTTCCACAGTATCTGTGGTATAGACAGAAAATGAACAAACTAGTATATAACTTAAGCATCAATCTTAATATGTCATTATAACTTCAGACATCTCTTGGAACTAGGCTTTGATAAATATTGGTCTCACTCACTCCCCAAACCTGTAAGCTCCATGAGGACAGAGACTCTTAGTTTTAACTTACTAATAGAATCTCTGCACATAGTCTGCACGTGGTAAATGCTCAACTGGCTAAATGACTGAATGGGCTAGCTGATGAAAACCTGGTTCAAATCACTAGGCTGCTCCATCAGCAGGCTGGTGGCCCCAAATGTAGTCTTTTCTCATTCAGCTTTATAGAGGCCTACTGAGCATGAACCTCCTGCCCATACACGCTGCTCAAAGGATCAATTATAAAAACTGTTAACTGTGACAGAAGGGAAATAGTACCAACTATTAATAATACCCTGTCTAGGCCAGGTGCAGTGGCTCATCCCTGTTAATTTAGGAGTCTGAGGTGGGCAGATCATGAGGTCAGGAGTTGGAGATCAGTCAGGTCAACATGGTGAAACTCTGTCTCTACTAAAAACACAAAAAATTAGCCAGATGTGGTGGTACATGCCAGTAATCCCAGCTACTTGGGAGGCTGAGGCAGGAGAATTGCTTGAACCCAGGAGGCAGAGGTTGCAGTGAGCGGAGATCATGCCACTGCATTCCAGCCTGGGCAACAGAGCAAGTATCTGTCTCAAGAAAAGAAAAAAAAAAATCCTGCCTAACTGTCCTACTAGCCTTTAACAAATTCACTAAGAACTATTCCCAATATAAAATATGTGTCGGCTGGGTGTAGTGGCTCATGCCTATAATCCAAGCACTCTGGGAGGCCGAGGCAAGAGGATCACTTGAGGCCAGGAGTTTGACACCAGCCTCGGCAACAAAGTGAGACTCCTTCTCTGCAAAAAATTAAAAAATTATCTGGGTGTGGTGCCATCCACCTGTAGTCCCTGGCACTTGGGAGGCTGAGGCAGGAGGAGCCCCTCAACCCAGGAGTTCAAGGCTGCAGTGAGCTATGATGGTGCCACTCCATTCC